TATATATATATATATTTGAGTATTTTCTTACATTTCCTGCCAATTACAATGCTGCCCACTGAATGATTGCTAGCACAATGATTTCATATCACGCAGACACAGATCTCACATAGTATCATCAGAAGAAGCTACCAGGCCAAATATTACTGCATCTATAGACAATGACGTCACTTTCACACCAGGCGACACAAATAAAGCTTCTAGATGATTCCAACATTTAATTTAGGATCTCTATTCGACCAGATGGACACTCAACCGACGAAGACCGACAAACAAACAGTGTACCAGATATGTAGTTCTTGTTTCTTTTCATAGCAAAAATAATAACAATACAATAAAAACACCAAAACAAAAACACTTTAAAAATATATTCACCTTTGCGAGGCATCAACTTAAAAACAGATGTACAAGTCATACTTCTAATCTCAACATATAAATATACACTATATACAAAATAATCTTATAAAACATAGAAAGAGAAAAATCAGTGCTTCATATACTTAAATTACTAATGAAATACTAATCTTACAAAATAACATTATTGATTCAGTAATTTCCATTAAAGGCGTTCTCGGTACGATAGTCACAACATGTATTTCTTTGTCTTGATTTAAGGGGGATTTTGCATAAAGTAAAACAAGGCCTTATTATGAGTTTTCCCTGCACGGCGCTTTAGCATATTGCATCATTTGATCTTTCACACAAAGAAATCAAGATAAGCAGGGCACAACAATTCCCTTTAAAAAAGGGGGTATAAGGCTTTGTGATCAAGGCTGAATACATTCTTTATAAAACGGATTGAATTTTCAAACGATAATCCTAAACATCTCTCAAAAATGAACCGTTTTCAGTAGTTTTCTTTTTTTCAGTCCCTTTTTCTTTTCTTCTTTAGCACAATGCTGGTTTTTGTTTGCATAGCGCGTCGCAGGTCAGATGAAATGGAAAAAAAGCCGGCTCCATCCACATTCCCGTTGGCGGTGAGTTGATTTGTTTGATTGCCGATTACTGCAATAAGATGGAAAGCGTCCATCGGGATAGCCCGCTTCTTCCACTCGGGCACACGCATCTTGGCCCGTTGCCCTCGGAGGAACTTGAACAGAGCGGACGAGGTTGCGAGAGCAAGCCTGATTGGCTCATTATTTCCCTTTTACATTCGCACATAGATTAGTAGCTTTACTTCTATTGCATTCAGAGAGCACACAAGCTCTATCCAGTTATCAAGTTTTCAAAAGCAGCAACTTGCGTTTAAATAAATCCCAGTCTTTCCACACTTGTAAACAGTCCACAAGAAATCCAATGTTGACGATGAATAATATATTCAATTTATTATACCTGAAAGAGACAGAGTCCAAACATTTAGTGACAATCACAGCAACACGTGCAAGATCTAAATGACCAGTTATTAAAGGGCTGGAACAAGTAAATAGATTTACCTCAGTTGCAATGATGCATTCATTTTTCTCTTCTGCTATTACGAAGACAGACTGGTACATTGAATCTCCAGAAGAACTTATTGTAGATATTCTACACTCTGGTCTCTCACTGTAAAGACACAACATGTCAGGCACACGGCACAAAAACAGTGCATGGTGGTATAAGTCAACATATGCATCTCTTCTCATCCACCTACCTGTACATTCTACTTAAATGTTTCGTGTCTTCTATTGACTTTTCACAGTTTTCATCTTTGTCCACAAGGGACAGTTCATCCTTGTACCTCGCGGAGGGTTTATAGTCCAGGTGGTAGTGGTTGATGCATTTGTGATTAGACTTTTCCCTGGGACAGTCCACCTCCAATTCAAACTTTTTATTGGTGTTCTTGAGCTCTAGAGTAGAGATGAGGTTCTCCTTCTGAAGGTCAACCTTGGAGAGGTTGTTCATGGTGTCCGAGTCCTGCTCCTTATCCTTCTGCTTCTTGATGTGCCCCATCACTGCCACTGCCATGCACAAAAGCAACAGAGCAGCCACTACGCCCACACCCAAAACGATGGCTACCAACTTTTGCTTTTCACTGGACTCCCAGCTTATTGTGGGGCTGGGGGTGTTGGCTTGGTGCTCACTGTTGAACTGGCACTGAGGGCCGCTGTAATGGGCCGGGCAGATGCAGGTGGACTGGCCTTTGGCTCCTGTGGTGCAAGTCCCTCCATTGAGGCAGGGTTGAGAAGCACAGTAGTCTGTGGGCTTGTCGCAGTGGCGGCCTGTATACCCTAGGGGACAGGTGCAGGTGTAGTCGTTGATGCGATCTATGCAGGTGGAGCCGTTTGCGCAGGGGTTTGCGGCGCACTCGTCGACATTGATCTCGCAGCGCGGTCCCGTGAAACCTGAGCGACAGCTGCACACTCGGAGGTTACCGCGGACCACGCAGTGTCCACCTGTGCAAAAAACACCATCATTATTGATTACTGCTGATGTAGAAATACAGCACCATACTGCTTTTGCAGTGATGTGCGTCTGGTCTCTTACCATTGGTGCATTGCAGTGAGGTACATTTGTCCACTTTCTTCTCACAGTTAAGTCCAGTGTATCCTGGTGGACACTTGCATGTGTAACTACGGCCATTATCTCTCTCTTGGCATGTGCCACCTTGGAAGCATGGTTTGTCTGCACAAGTGAGCACCCTGTGTTCACAGTGTTGTCCTTCGAATCCCTGCGGACACTCACACCTATACCCATCCTCAGAGTCCTGCAGGAGAAAAGATATAAGGTTTTTTTTAAAAAAAAAAAAAAAAACAACCTCCGTGTCAGACATTTTTTATCACATCCTGTTCACGACTGCCCCAACAAACCCCATTATCCTAAGACCAAATTCTATTTACAGTACATCGTCTGTGAACTGGGTCACCCACTGACTTGACAATCGATAGCATCCTCCTGGACAAGCAGATAGACGGAGGCAAAAACAAAAACAGGAAAGCCTGTGTTGTGGGAAAGGAGAGAGAGAGACTTCCGGACTCACCAGGCAGCGACCTCCGTTGTGGCAGGTCTGCCTGTCACATTCCCTGACCTCCGAGTCGCAGTTAACCCCGGTGAAGCCTGGCAGGCAGGTGCAGGTGTAGCTGCCCTGGCCTGTGTTCAAGCACGTGGCCCCGTTTGCGCAGGGTTTATGGTGGGTGCAGTAGTTCAGGTCTGTAAACAAACAGGAGGAAACGTGATTACTGGAACCAAAAGGAGGGATTGCATCAAATGAGCCACACATTTTCCGCTTTTTGCATTATCCTTTGAGACAAAGACGTCTGGAGTCGCTTTCTAATTCACTCACCTTGGTCACAGAAGATGCCCCCCCAGCCTTCTTTGCAATTGCACTGCCAAGCCTCTTTACAGGTACCGTGTTTACAGGACGGGTGGGTTTTACACACATCACAAAAGAGACCCTGCCAGCCCTGTCTGCATCTGTTCACACAAAATATAATAGCTGGATCACACACAAATCAACTTTCATCTGCTCACTCACATACAAGAGCTACAACAAGCCTGACAAAAGGGGAACAATAGTGAAAAAAGGTCCCTTTGTACTTTGAATACTTTATATTTCTCATGACTAGGGTTGACTTTTATTTACCCTTTTCGTTGGCTAATTGTGGAGGGACACCAAACCAAAGTGAATACTCACTTGCACTCTCCAGGTAATGTGCAGTTTCCGTTCCTTTCATTGCAGCCTTCAAGACAGATTGCTGAGAGAGAGAGAGAGGGGGGGGGGGGGGGTAATTAAGTGTTATTAACTTATTAGGCAATTATTAAAACAGTATTCATTTATTTATTTTACTCGCTGGTGTACCAATAAAAACGATTTCCTGTTGAGTGTCGCGAGGCACACTGACTTTGCATGATTTTTAATTTTTCATTAATTTATTTTTTGCACTGTTGGTTAGAGCGGAGCAGATGTTTGCTCTAAAAAGAAAAAGAAAGAAAGGGGGGGGGGGGGAGCAGGACAGCTGCCCCATTGTTACGGGCGCACTGTCGAGCCCCGTGTGCAGCTGCCGCCCCACACCGCCTCCACAATAGGGCCTGCAATTTAGTGGCGCGTGGCGGGCGATAATGCCGCGATTAACCCCGACGCGTGCTGCCGAGCGACCACCGCCCTGGATTAAATCGCACGCGCCCAGAAAGAAAGCAGCATCAAGTTGGCTGTCGTCAGATTTCACCTGAACCTCACTTGTGCGCAAATTGTGCCCTGCTTCCTCGCGTCCCACGCACACCTGTGATCATGTGGCTTAACAGGTCATTTAATATGGGCCAAATGAAGTCAAGAAAAAGAAAAATTGGCAGGATTGAGAGAAAAATAAATGTACAGAACCTCCCTTATCTTCCTTTGTAACTACCTAATATAAAGCTGTTAATGGCCTGCGTTTTTTGCTCCATTTAGGACTAATGCGCAAGCAGCCTTCCTGAAATCTGACTCATGACCTTTTATACAAACAAAGAAAAGTGCCCATATGGTGTCTTCACTCTTGCTTACGTTCTTGGCAGTATTCTCCCCTCCATCCCGGCAGACAGGCTTCTTCCCCATCAGGCTTGCAGGTGAAGTGGCCAAAACGGTCGTCTCTTGGAGCGCATCTTTTGGAACAAGTGGCCCCGTAGTAATTTTCATTGCAGATGAACCGGTATGAGTAACGTAGCTCCGTCTGCCTCCCGCTGAGCACATCCTTGGACCACTCACGCCCTATTCCCAACTGCCTTTGGATGGCAAAATAACTAATCAAGAATTCGGGGTTGGTGGTATCTGTGAATAAAACAGAAAAAAACATTTAATCCTATTTAATAATGGATTGGATTTATATAGCGCTTTTCAAGGCACTCAAAGCGCTTTACAATGCCACTATTCACTCTCACACACTGGTGGAGGCAGCTACGGTTGTAGCCACAGCTGCCCTGGGGCAGACTGACAGAAGCGAGGCTGCCATATCGCACCATCGGCCCCTCTGGCCAACACCAGTAGGCGGTAGGTGAAGTGTCTTGCCCAAGGACACAACGACCAGGACAGAGAGCCCGGGGATCGAACCGGCGACCTTCTGGTTACAGATGCGCTCCCAAACCCCCTGGCTCAGGGGGTTTAGGCCACAAACTGGCTCACATGAGAGACTGTTTAAAATTTAGGCTGCTCTATGACGTTAATACATCTAACAATTATAAATTTTAACACGATACACAATTTAAGAGGCATACTGAAAAGGCCCCCTTGCCGTCACTTCTCGCCATTACGCGCCGCGTTCACAGAGATTAAAAAAAAAGGGGGGGGAAAGGTGTAAAATCCAGGAAAAGCCTGTCATGGGACTTTTGGCAAGGCTTCAAATTCTCACTTAAGCGATGTACACTTTCCCATGCCTGCCAAAAATAAATCAAGGGAAGTACGATTGTGTTTGGCGAGATTTGATTGCAAAGAATTGTCGTGTGACTCATGACATCCTAACAAACACGAACCCATGACGCTGAAACACCAGATGCGTTTGCCAGCACTTCATACGTTCATCACGTTTCTGATAAAAGCGGAGTTTTCAGTAACAAGTAAAGCAAGTACACCCACAATGCCTCCCTCTAGTGGCGAAAACCCAATAAACATCTCCTCACCTCCGGGCTGCTCCGCTGCAGGAGAATACCAGGCTTCAATAACTAAGGAGAAAGCACCCTGTGGGGACAAATGAGGGAAACAATGGTCACAAAACAACCTGAAGATCTCATATCTTTAGCTTTGTTTGGATGAAACGGGGGTTTGGGGCACAACACTTTACATATATATAAAAGAAAGCAGTTGCACTTAATTCAAATGATCCATGCAACAGATATAGGGACTGGATTGTGTCCTACATGAGTTCACATAGTTGAACGCAGACTCAGTTTTCGGCAAAGGATAAAACAAGTCCTCTGACCCTTAAGCGTAGTTTAAATGGCACAACAACGTTGCATTTAATTGGTGTGACAAAAGCTAAGTACTATATGCAAAATATATTTCAGAGTGTTGTTTGGTAGAAGCTTTTCTCAGCACTTATCAGCTGTGAAGAGCGCATTTTTAAACGTGTAGATTTGGTTTGGTTTCTGCGTAAAAGCGTCAGACGAGTGCGCCCGACAGGACAGGTGCTCTTACCGGCCAGGTGAAGTTGAGCGGCAGGCGTAGCCTGGCGTCCGGCCGGATGCTGAAGGAGTCGGTGCCCAGAATAGGTGTGCTGGCGTTGGCAAATATGCAGTTTCCAGGAGACACTTCCTTCTGGAAGTTCTTCAAACAAACCTTGAAATAAGTCCTGCAGCCACTCATGCCGCAGCTAAGCCCGTTTGCCAGCAAACCTTTCGTGTTCTGAAAATGATTCAGCTCTATCTCGAACACACCCGTTCCGAAAACCTAGAAGGAAATGAAGAGTGAGCACAGAAAAATACATTTTCCCCAAAATATAAACGCAAAGATTTAAAAAACAAAAATACCTGAGTAGATACTGTAATAACTATTGCGAGGACAGATGTGAACCAAACGGCCATCCTTTAGTTTTATGTGCGTATCCTTAAAAAACAGTTTGTCCTCCCACAAAAAGACGCTCCTATTCCAAAAATGCAGTGATGATAAAATAAAGTGATCAGAATAAATAGAATCCTTTTCTTTTCTTTTCCTCCAAAGCCTGTAGGACAAGATCCAGCTCCACAATCAGTATCCAGAAGAAGAAGTTGGGAAAAGACCGAGTTATCCGTGTGCTTGAGGTTAGACAAATATCAGTAACGTCAATATCCACAAGTGACTCATTCTGCGGTCTTTATGTTGCCCATCCATCGTGCCGGTTAGTTGTTGTTTGAGTTTGCTGTGCTGATGTGAGCCTTGTTTTGCCAACAGTGATGCGGGCATGTGGCGGAGCATCAGCGCATAGTGACTCCCAGTGAAGGATGCTTGACGTCCCTCCTCAGTTTTTATACGCCGTTACAGACAATGTCAGTGGGTAAACACCGCCCACTCCCCTCTCCACTTTTTTTTTTTTTTTGGTGTGTGTGTTTCTCTTTCTCTCTCACACATGGAGTGTCATTAACATGTATAATGATTTTTAGAGGAGTTTGTTGCTTAAAATAAGCGATTTTCTGTGCTTTCATACGCTGTTTATGCGTAAACTAAAATTCAACGGTAGGTTGTTGGGGGGGTTTTCGGGGGGAGGGGGGTTTCATAGTGTTAATATAGATGAAGCTTTCAGGCATCCAGAATGTCTAGATTCACTGTTGCTGTCTTCAGGGGTCACTGATTGTGTCTCTTTCTTTCCCCCTGTGTTTATTTTAGAAGATGGAGCAGGAGACAGCCCTCCCCAAAATGGATTTAAATGTTAAACACGTGGTGTCACTCATAAATCAGATGAGGAACCCACGATTTTTGAGACCAAGAGCCTCATATAAAGTAAAATATTAAGTCCATTTCTATAAATGGGCAGTTATCATGTGAAACGCTTATGTGTGGACAAACACAAAGCTGAGATTGTCCTCTAGCTGAGCACTGTTTGTTGAACTAACATCCACATGGCAGCTGAAAAACAGTCTTCTTCTTTCAAGTGTGTGCATAATTGTTCCAAGAGGGAAAAGAAAAATGAACTCAAAGCAGTATATGAAGGCGGCAGAGCAAATAAATTCACACGCCATATGCAATTTTATCTCATGAAAACTCACGCTGAGCGCAGGCATTGTTACCTTTATCACCCCTGCAGCAGGCCAACTTGTCTGGGAGGATTTACAGTGAGGGAACAGGATTTAGTAACCGTTCCCTGGCCATGAAGGTGTGTGGCTGAACGGCTCTCCTGCAGAGATGACATCATCTTTAACCCCCCCCCCCACCTTTGACTTATAGGTTTGAGGTTCCACTTTTGGGCAGAGACAATGGACTATTGAGTTTGGAGGAGTGTGAGTAATAGACCCAGACATCTCATACTTCTCCTGTATTGAAGCATTTGGCGTTCCCACCATTGACTGAATCACACAGATCCTGCAGTGGTGCATCAGTGCAGCCTCGTACAGTGCCTGCTTTCAACCATGCACTCTTGCTCTGCTTTGTGTCAAAAAGGACCCGAATTTGCTTATCTACAGGGCATCTCGCTGGTATATATGGCTTCCGCAGACTCTAGAGCCTCATCAATCTCTTAAGACATGTGTAATGGTGTGCCTGCCTTCCCTTCATACACATCAAAACACCCGTACACTTTAATATTTGATGGAGTCTGGCTAAGGTTTCTCAAGCGCAGCTCAGGTTTCAATTCCTTGTAAAGTAATTGGACTGTGCTAAACACGCAGCGATGCTTGGATTGGAACGTCTTGGTGCAACGCAAGCGAAAACGCTGGCTTGGTTGAAATACGGGGAAGTGCCTTTGGGGTGATGCACTCACCAGACTTTGTTAATATTTACAAATTGTGATTTTATCACTGTCGTTATATTATTGTTGTTACTATTATCTAAATGGGGAGAAACCCTGACCTCGATTAATACGGACATTTTAGTCCTTAGCTCTATGAGTTATTTACTCCTGGCCAATGCAAACAATAGGATAACAGAGTCTTTTCTGCTGTGCTGCTCTAGAATAAACACAACCATGGAAACAGACATCGGCCCACCGCAGTTTCATCTGCGGCCTTGCCTGGGACATCATTTTTCTTTGTGACAGTATTTTGTAAAGCCGACTCGTGATTGTTCTATGTATATATTTAGCTGGCATCCAAATCCTAAAAATAACATTTTGACTGGAAAATGAAGAGATATGACTCATTTTGGACTTATTGGCAAGCTGCTATTGGTGAGAAACTGCTTGATGCAATTGTTTAGATCATCGGAAGTCTCAGTTATTTATTCATTTTGTCCCAGGAAACCTTGCTCATACGTTATAGGTTTTAAGAGGCCGGCCATCCAATCAGGTGTGCACTGTTTGTACGTTTATAGAGCAGGTTTGCTTGTCTGTTTGTTTTTATTAAATACGTGTGAGGATATGAGTCGGAGCATGCTCACTCAAAAGTATGCGACCACTGTCAATACACTGTTGTACTTGTTATTTACAAAACACATCGAGCCTATTGTGTCCCTCATGAAGTTAACAGAGATCAAAGACTTTCTTAAATTAATTTTTCATTCGCTAAATGTCACTAAGTATTTACTGTAAATATGCACTGGACAATGAACCTTATACCTAAGTGAAAATCCACTTGACTGATATGAAAACATTAAGCTCAGTGGGGTCATGTGTCAGTTTTGGATCCAGTTGGAAGCATTGTTTCTCTTTTCATTACATTATTTTGTCTCATTATACCACAGTCTTGGCCATTGTTCCAGTAGTATCAACAATCTAGTAAAGTGCAGTAGAAAGTTACAAAGCTAACAGATGGCCCCCTTTTAGTTCAGATATCTGGCCTGTTTAATGCGCAGCAGTTTAACACTTCTTTACAGCACATTTGATCTCTATGCCCCAATCTGTCCGGCCAATCAATGGGGCTTTTGATGTGCGCTGCCAGTGGATCTGAGGCTTCTAAGCATGCCGTGCTGGGAGGAGAAATCACCTGCTGTTGCAATTAGAAAAACAAGGGGTGGTTCCATTCTCTCACAGCACCATCCACAGCCTAAGCAGCTCTTATTTTTACGCTAAACATACAGAAAATACCCCCTTAAGGATACAAACCCAAATTGTTCAAACGTTACTGTAAGTCTGGGAGACTTAAAAAAAATTCCAGAGAGATTTTATGTGCTTACGCCAAAGATTAAATGCTTCTAGCTGTAGAGAAGAAAGCATGATTGTGCATGTCTAGCATGATGAAATATAAATCAGCGTGATTTATGTGACACCTTTGGACCTGAGAGTCATTACTGATCAGCTTCTGCATATGTTTGCAAGTTTTTGAACATATGGCCTAAATTACCATGTTAAATATTGCTCTGCATGTCTGTTTTTACTCAGTTTAAACCTTCAGCTTTAATTTAAAGCTCCTGACATTGTGGTTGCCGGTTTAATAAGAGCCCGAGGGGCTGTTGTGGAACTTTCCAGCTACCATCTTCGAAGCTGTTGACAAAACAAAACCATCCCCCACACTTGCACCACAACAATCAACACTATGTGGTCACTGGCACCATGTCGTGAACCATGGAGGTGTCAATAAAGGTTTTTGCTTTGCTGAAAAGATGTCTGTTAGCTAAAAGGCATCCTGCATGCCTTCAGTGTATGATTTATGACTCAGGGCCACGCCTTTTCAACAGGTTCCGCTCAGTTTGAAGCGCTTAAAATGGACCGGATCATGTGTGTAACAGCTGTCTGTGTGCTAGTATGCCCCCCCAAAAAACGGCATAGCACACTCCGCTCTCCCACCATGAGGGTCTGTGATTATTCCAACCACCCCCTCAATGTTCAGTATTGATCCCAACAGAACAGCTCCGCCTTTGACACGTGCAGAGATGCTGGATAATCACCGCATCTGTCAATGTGAGCTTAGCAGTGTCACATCCTGCTGCATTTTTAGCAGATGCATTTCCCTTCTGCCGCTGTATTTTTTAACCATTGTCCTCAAACAGACAATAAATATGAAAAGGACACGGCATGAAAGCCAAACATGTTTTTGTGTCCAGGCAGTTGTTGCATGATTGCCAGTGCAAGGATAGTTGTTTGCGTGGAAGAAGCTACTGTAGCCTTGAGGAAATCCTCCTTTCCCAAAGTCAAAGCATAATTGCTTTACGCAAGCCAAAACCGCACCGCAGGAAGAGGAAAGAGATAAATGGATGTGAGGGAAGAACGTGCTGGTGTGAAGAGGGTTGTTAAAACCACAAGAGCGAGCCAATCGGGGACACCAGACAGAGTATGAATTGGTGTCCCACAATTCACACACTAACCTCATTATTATTGGGTAGGCGAGAACAGGTGCAATAACCTTAATGTTCTGTGCAGTACAAGCTTTTTAATGGTTCTTATTAAACACATTTCACTGAAGTTACTGTGCTTTGAGAATCGGGAAACTGCCATCAAAGTAATTGGCAATATTAATCTTCAAAGATGCAAGAGTTTTGGCCTCAGTGTCACCGTAGGGGAAATTCTCAGTAATCACTGAACACCATCAGCGTGATTAGCGTCTGGTAATTTCACCTTGGCATGCCACGCTGTTAGATGCTGTGATCTTGTGTGATAAGGGTCTGTGGTTCTGGTTTAATTATCCAGAGACTTAATGATCTCTTATCTGCTGTTCTTCCTCCACTTCCTGAGCGGGCAAGGGGGGGGCACATGACCTCTAAAGTACACTACACTTTATTATTGTTTATTTATATAGACGGACCTAGGAATATTTTAGGAGGGTCCGTTGTTTTTTCCTTTGACGATTTGAAGTTCCTAGTTGTCCTTTTCCTTTTCGGTGTATGTATGAATAGTTTCCTACCTTTGCTTTCAATTTCACAAACACAGATTCCTGGGAATTTGTCCCGCTGGAAGTTACACGTGGGAGAGTTATGTTTGTGTGCAATGCACTGAGATGAGTGGCTTATTAGGCGAAAGGCTCAGGTAGTGCGAGGCCTCGCTGTGCTCTCTGGTCCTACCAGAAACTATCAGCGGCCGTCAGAGTGAAATGTGACCTTCTGTTTGGATTCTGTTTAATGAGTTGAACTGAAGTTGACCTCATGACACACACGCACACACACAGACCCATCTCCACTCTGCTGGACAAACAACAGATGCAAACCCTTTTGTATAAAGTGATTGTTATCCACGTCAACTTAAGGCTTGGCTGTGATATTAACAGTAGTGCAGCGCACAGATTGCACATGTATACATTTGCACGTCCAGTTTGTGTTCCTGTGGACAGCGAATTAGTGGGCGCTATGCCATGTTTGACATGATTTAGGCCCACTTCCATGCTTACCCAGCCTCAAAAC